TTCGGGGTTCCTCCATTGCTGCGGGAGGGACCCACCTTTGCAAACGTGCCCATTAAAAAAACTTCTGTCTACTGGACAACCGAACCCGTGTCTGTCGTTTTCTGACAAAAGCAAGAGACGAGCATTTGGCAAATATGGATTTAGGTTGCATAGACTATAACCCCAAATGGAAACTATTTCATAGCTGTGAACATTTCATTAAATCTACCTCACTTTTATACAAAGTTGCTCTTAACTCTGTTAATGTATTTCTCAAAGGCAGAGGGCTCATTTTTTATATATTCTTGTGAATATTGTTTTCTTCATTCAGCTGATATATTTATTAATGAGACAAGATACTGAATTGTAGCTATTGCGTGTGGAAGTAACCAGAGTTGAATTCTTATTTTGTTCAACTCAGGAAACCTCACAACAAAAGGGGAACAAAACTGAGTAGTTCCCCCACCTCTCCTGCAGCAAATGACAACATTCCATCTGACTAAGCTGATCTCTTGGCAGAGGAGCATGTTCAGAGAACGCACAACATTGCAGTGAATTTCCAAAATGGCATTCCCTGCCATCCAGCCCAGATGAGATCAGCTTGCCACATGGGCTCTTGGTCTTTTTTCCTGGAAGAGGGTGAGGGCAAAATTGCTCATTTATTAATCCAGCTGGCTGTGGATAGCAGCACTTGCCCATTTGTGGCTTCATTAGCTTGCTATGTCCAAGCCTTGTTTTTCAGCGCAAGAAGTTTCCAGCATAATGCCGCAGGCTCCTGTGGATCACCTTCTTTCTTACTTCTCCAAAAGACACATTTCCAGCCCCATGCAGGGTTGTCTGTGGTGGTGGCGTGGTCAAAAAAATCAAGATGGCAGCCTCAACTACACAATTGTGGCCGCCATCTTGACTTTTTTGACCACCCCCTGGATGCCCCTGCATAAATCCCAGATGCTGAACCTGAGCTGGACTGATTGAGGAACAGGAAAAAGGGTGTTCAGTCTTGCTTTGATGAGGATGGAAGATGGAAGGAAAATGAATCTCCTGGAGAAGAATAATTTGGAAAGGGAATTTCTGCGGGAAATTAATTTGTTGTGAATGGACCTAATAGAGGCACAAATATACGGTCTTTGATTTTAACAAAATGTTTAATAAAAGGAAGCAGAGTCTTACAGAAAGTAAAACTAAATGTAGTGCGGTGAATCCTTTGGAATATATCAGGGTCGTGCAACTTCTTTAAAAGCAATTGAACTCAATCAGCCACCAGATCTCCTTTTTCCATTGTTTCAGTATATTATAATGGGTAGATTGAAATGGGTTCTCCTCGAACTTCTCAAGCCTAGGCTGATTTTCACTGTCTAGGCCAGTGTTTCTCAACCTTGGGAACTTTAAGATGTGTG